GAATGCCTCACAAAAGTTTGTGCACGACCCATTTCGAAGTATTTCCCCAAATGCTTGCTTTAGCATTTCATAGGTTTCCGTAGCGGTTTTGGCGAGTCTTTGGCAAAATTTGATGCACCCGCCATTCCGAAATCGCAGGAGGGTCAGTGTAATGCACTACCAAAACGCCCGTAACTAAGAAACAAATGCTAATTCGATGATGCCGGCTGGGAAACTGATTCACTATGAATGTAGGCCGCACCCCCTAGCGGCAGAAGCTCGTACTACATCCGGTAGGCCCTCTATTGACACAGTCTTGAAACTTTCCGATCGCACCTCGTACACATACTGTTCACTTCTTGAAAACAGAATGCAGTAAATGTGTCCTTCCATGTAAAATCATACACCACGGATTTTAACACATCATGTGGTAGAGCTTAAACCACTTTCCTGATACTGACCTTGTGTTCATCCAAAGTAGTGGGCTGTGTCTCAAATACATATATGACTATTCAGATAACCCCACAAAATGTTGGGAGTTGACAAATCAGGAGATGCTGGCAGTTAGTTTGTCACCAAACTATGAGCTTAGACATGTGGAAACATTTCACATAACTTCTTCATACTCATTCATGGAGTATGTGATGTAGACTGATCTTGCTGGAACCACAAAGCATGGTTAAGTCTGTGGCCCACCCAGCCTCCTAACCAATGGGTACCAGGGTCCTTTCTCGGGGGTTAAACGTGGCCAGGGCGTGACAATGACCAGGTTAAGAATGAGTAGGAGTTATATCACCTCTCCCCCCAAGCCCCTACACGGTGTACAGCAGGACACCTTTACTTACTTACAAGTCTATCAGTTTCAGGTTTAAGAACCATTTCCAGCATATTGCTGTACAAAGGTGCAATCAGTTATGGTCAGATCATGTTTATCTTCAGAAAAATAAGGTCCAATTACACATGCAACTGAGATAGCATATAATACTGTAATTTTTGGAAAACAAAGTGGACATCAACGGAAAACCTCTATATTCAATAAATTGTTGTATATGACTAAACACAAAAATATCAGTCTTCTCTGCCAGACCCTGTACATTTAGACACAAAATTTCATAAATTCATTCAGTCAGAGCAGTGTTAAATGTGCAGATAAATATGTGAAACATTTTTGCAATATTTCCTTCAATATCTTCAGTTGGAAGAATCAGCCTCAGCCAAGTGCATGCATAATTTTTGCTTCCTTGCACCTTCATCTTTGGGGCATGGCATCTGTTTCAACATGGTTCCTCTCTTCCCCTCCTCCTGCCCACTCCACCTTGTCCCCTTTCCTTTCCAGCCCTGCACAGTAAACTGTGAGTTGTGTCTTGTAAACAGGACAATGACCCTTGTACCTACCACCGAGGTGAGCTTCTCACGCAAAATTCTGCATAGGTCTTATCATTCTAAATTCCCTTTGATTTAATTTTTTATAACCACTTATATTTCTATTATGGATTTATGGTCAGCCAACATCTGACAGTATGAGAAAACTTACATACTTACATCAAGCATATTATTTAGTAGTGTAGGTATTAACTTGCATTCCATTTCTATATTTAATCATTACTTCCTGGTCAGAATGAAGTTAAAGCTGTGTGCGAAAATTATATTGAAGAGCTATATGACAAGGCCAAACGACTGGATGAGAAGGAGATGGAATTGGAGCCAGAAGAAGAAGTAGAAGAGGACGACAAAGGTGCAGAGATACTGAAGAACGAGGTAGAGAGGGCCATAAAGGATATGAGAAGAAGAAAAGCTATGGGAGATGATGAAATCCCATCGGACTTATTGAAAGAACTTGGAGAGAAAGGAGTGAAGGTTCTTACTAGACTTGCTAACAAGATATACACCTCCGGTGAGTGGCCCAAGGACTTTCTGGAAGTAACAATGATTCCATTACAGAAGAAAAAGAATTCCAAGAAGTGCGGCGATTACAGGACCATCAGCCTAATCTCACATGCGGCGAAGATAATGACGAGAATACTGACTAAAAGACTAGAAAAGAAGATAGAGGAAGTGATGGGAGACGACCAATTTGGATTCAGGAGAGGAAGAGGAACCAGAGATGCCATCGGAGTTATGAGAATAATTTCAGAGAGAGTTCTCGATGTCAAGGAAGAAGTATGTGCCTGCTTCATCGACTGGAAGAAGGCTTTCGATCGAGTAAAATGGAAGAAATTAATGAGGATCCTACAGAGAATTGGAATTGATTGGAGAGATAGAAGACTAATCAAAAACCTGTACATGCAGCAAAAAGTCAAAGTGAGACTGGACTCAGGAGACACCAACAGCGTTGAGATAGGTAGAGGTGTAAGACAGGGATGCTGCTTATCACCAATTCTTTTTAACCTGTACGGGGAATGGCTTGCCAAGGAAGCTCTGGAGGGAACATGAGACTTCAAAATTGGAGGAAGAGTGATAACGACTGTAAAGAATGCAGACGACTTAGTAATATTGGCGAAGGAAGAGGAGGAATTACAGAACATGATGGACAAGTTAGTGGAAACAGACAGAGAGTATGGAATGGAAATCAACATTGAAAAATCAAAGGTAATGAGGATAGCACCGAGAGCAGAACCATTGAACGTTGTAATTGGAAACCAACAGATGGAGAATGTGGAGCATTTCAAGTACGTGGGAAGCATAGTCACGACGGACG